TAATTGATTCTTTTCGACCAGATATCAAATCTAATAGTTTTCAACGACCAAGATCAGAAATGAATATAGCAAGTGGTATTCCTAAGTTTTTTCCACTGGCAATGATACAACAAGAGGGTAATCCATATGTTCGAGATGATACTATGTTTATTAAAATCATGGTTGGCTTTGGTGATATGCCAAAAACATTATTATCACATGCATTAAGTCTTAATCCTGGACTACCAATGCATATTCAACAAAATAAGATTAAAGACGAACATAAGAAGCGGCTTTTGAACAAACGAAAGGCGTCTGAAGCTTGGAATCGTGTGCTATGTATACAGAAAGAAAAACATTTTAAAGCCACTTAAATGTGTACACATTTTGGTTTCGTATTGCTTTTATTGCTTGTCTTTCAGTTATATCGCACCCTTTCTATCATTTTTTTTGAAACTCAATCGATAAACAAAGGTACTCTTTATTTAATAGTATTACATATAATGTTTTAATAAAAACAGTTCTTATTCTATATACTTGGAAGTCTTTATTTCTCTCTTCATATTTATATAATGATTCAGAGTATAACTTGTAATTATGTATATGTATACAAGAACCTTTGATAATTTATGTGTATATTACATCAGTAAGCAAATTGTGTGTGGTTGTGGATGAGGGTGTAAGTATAATATTCATTTTACGCCCACATCCTACGAGTAACTGCAATAACAAATATGATCTCGGGAAACAATGAAAAGAATATAATATTTCAGAATCTATGAGATTACAACATTAGAATAGTATCTTGATTATATATTACAAAATCTTGTTTAACTATATGATAAACAACAAATAAAATAATAATTTATGTTATTTTTGTCCGTTCGAAGAATACAATTTTGTGGAAATATTATGTAGAAATTTATTGTTTATTTCTATTGTCTAGTTTGTAACTGAGTCCGCCTTTCTGTTTCTTCCTTGATCATGTCTTTTTGTACATTGATAGGTAAACCAGGATTAAGACTCATTGTATATGGTAATAACGTCTTTGGCATATCACCAAAATCAACCATAATTTTAATGAACACAGTATCATCTCGAACATATGGATTACCCTCTTGTTGTATCATTCCTAAAGAAACAAATTTAGGAATACCACTTGCTATATTCATCTCTGACCTTGATCGTTGAAAACTATTAGATTTGATATCTGGTCGAAAAGAATCAATTA